ATATATTTTACAAACTTGTTTTTTCCACTTTAATTCTTTGTCAATAATTTTACCTAGGAATGTCACGTTAGTAGCACTACAAAGAGTCTGTCCATCATAATTATTGATATTTATTACTATCAGAAATTATTATTTATACTTATTATTGAAATTCATATAGGTATTGAGTTTTACTTAAGTTATTATTTCGGTGTATCTATAAAAAAAATCATCTGGTTGGGTTCCATAAATATATAATTGCAAACGAAAATGATAAATATACATAAATAACAATAAAATAGAATGAATACATGAAGATACATAAATAAATAAAAGCCCAACCAGATGGAAGCCCTTGGCTGGGAGACCAAACGGACGAGTCTTAGGGTTCCCCCTAAATCTCGGCCATGGCTAAGTCATGCTTCATTCATCCATCATTAATTATAGCTTACACTATCAAAAGTAAAGTTATATAGAGAGGCCTGCGTTGATGGGTGAACTCCCCTAACTACAAAACTAGTAATAGTTTGTATAATCTAGGGAGGTTTTTATAGGTTAGGGTGACAAACGAGCACACAGTCCACCTGATGGTAAGTGGTTGCTGTGGCCCATAGACATATACATCTATCCTCGATTACGAATCAAAATGCAGATGTATTGTCACCCGTGAGGACTAAGATGGAATGACTGACATCCAGTAAAAAGGGTCTCCGGTTCTTTACACTTACCATACGAAACACAACAGCATTAAGCTACTATGTTACGCTGATATTCTGTGAGAGCGTGGTCCTGCCACGGTCGAGCCGACCTATTCGTGCTACAACTATACTACTAATATAACTGCAGAATGGCTCTACCACGTTTAAAACGGTTGTTCTTATGGGGGATTTTGCGATAGTTGCCACGTTCGGTAGGCGGTTTGGCAGCTGCTGGTACTATTTGCAGTAGTTGTCAGGCAGATGCTGCTGCTCATCCTCTGTGTCAGTTTCCCTCTGCGACCACCAACGACACTCAAGGAATGTTTTGAGGTAGGGAATCTATTACTACTATAGTAGCCGCCACTACACGAAACATGTTAAATATCATAATACTATAACATTATGTATCTGTATAGAATACAACACCATGGAATTTAATTATTAAAAAATATTTTGAGCTGTTTTTAAGTACGGGATTATTGTAAAATAAATCTTTAAAAAACCAAGCGAATTAGCGAATACCGACTTCATGAAAAAATTTAACATAATCTCCATGTAATTTGTAAGCTTCTGAAGTTGACGCTTTATTTCGGCGAAGCACTTGGTAAGGACGGAATTATTTAAAAAAAATATTTACAAATACTAACCAAAACCCACTTCATAAAATTAAAAAGAATAAAATAATTTACACGCTACTTACGTGTATATTATAAACACTTGAAGTCGATGAACTAATGAGGGCTTATAATATTCCGCTCTCGTTAGTTGACACTGAGATGAAGTTTTTTGGTACACAATGTCATTATATTGATAATTTAGTATTAAATAAAACTTTATCAGTTTCTAGAGTATTATATTAATACACAAAACAATGCCTCTGTGTTTTGTTCATTAACTTTTTGCACATTATTAACATTATTTTTTTTTAAATTTTTATGAATATCTGTGATTTGGTTTATTTATTTTTAATATAATTAATATAAAATAAAACTAATGGTACAGAAAGAAACATTAAACTTTAGAACTTTCGAACAAATTAACTTTCCCACTATGAAATCTGTCAAATATTACCTTGTAAATGACGCCGCCCTGGTGGCAGAAAAAGTCGTGGATGCCCTCATTCATTGAAACACATTTTTAAGACATGCTTAGCATCAAAAGTTAAGTATTATACCTAGTGTACGTAGTGTGTGTAGTACTATTCCAGGTAAGACACGACAGACTCTACGAGTACGGCGGCTGACCGCTAATATAGCTTACACTTAGCGGTCAGCCGCCGTAGAGTCTACATTACCTGAAGATACCTCGTGTAGAGGCGAAACACGTGTCGTATTACCGTCGATGGTGCGTTTACTTAGAATAGTGGTGTTGGGAGTAGTGGTGCTGGGAGTAGTGGTGCTGGGACTAGTGGTGACGGAGTTAGTGCATGCAATTGAGGGAGGGCGGGAGGTGCTCTTCAATCCAGGTAAGACACATCATTGTATTTATTTAGCGGAAGGTTGCAAAGAAATTTATATTTTTATTTTTATTATAGTTAGCATGATTGGCGGGCTGGCAAGCGCATTTTTTAACTGTTATTGGAAAGCCGTTGCTGCTCATCTCCTGCTCTGTTTCACCCTCTCACCTCTTACGACACCCAGAAGATAATGTGCGGCGTGTTCCTACACAGCCTCTACACGGTAAATTTTTTAATTATGGACAAGCTCATAGAGTCGAAACTCGGATGTCGTGTAAACAGTTATAATAACAACTTCATTACTTATTTGGCTGAGTCATGAAATTATTTAAGCCACCAACAAACGTTGTTAAAAACGTTTCCTTTGGAATATGTAATGCTCTATAGCATATATATGTGAAAGACAAAGGAATTCCAATAAACGAACGGAATGCCTCCCATGCAGCGAGTTCGCTGTATTATATATTTTTCTTGAAAGCCCACATCAGCTCGATTTGTAGCGCAATGCGAGGGTACTTATTCAAAAAACGAACTAGGTCGGATACGTTATGGCTACTGTAATAAACAAATACATGCTTTGGGAATCTAGCACAGTTCTTAAGTTCTTATAGTCTATGGATTGTTTGGCATAGTACAATTCCCAGAAGTACTTATACTTTAAAAATTATTTAAAAAAATATTTAATAAAAAATAATTAGATAAAATATTAAAAAAATACATACATATAAATACATAAACTCAGCTGTTACTCAATGGCATAGGCAGAGATTACGGACTCTCAAATGGATGGTATCGCGAGTACCAAATGGCACGATCCTGAAACACTCTCTCGCTTTTATCCCATTCACATCCACTTTATACGTGGTAGAATCACGCTGCAGCTATATTATGGATGTAGCACGAATAGGTCGTCTCGACCGGGGAAGGACCCTGCTCTCACAGAATACCAACCTAACGTTGCTGTGTATCGTATAATGAGTGTACAGAACCGGGGACATTTTTTACTGGAAACGAGGTATTCCGTCTTAGTCCTCAGGGGTGACAACGCATCTGCATTTTTCTTAACTTTTTTTATAGGAGAGAGGGTACAAGGAGCATACGGCTCACCTGATGGTAAGTGATTACCGCCGCCCATGAACAATTGCAACACCAGGGGAAGTTGCAGATGTGTTGCAGGCCTTTTAAAAAAAGAGCAGGCTCTATCCGTGAAGGTGTCTAAGTCGTATCGGTCCGGAAAAATCTCTGGTGTAGCCGATTCCACAAGAAAGTTGTGCGAGGAAGAAAACTTTTTTTAAATCGCGCAGTGGTGGACCGCCAGTCATCCAGATCTTACAGATGGTATCTAAACTAAGCATACCACTTCAAGACTCCAAGATATTTTAAGTTTTTCTGCGTAGATCAGACCAAAACTAATAATTTTAAACTGAGGGAAGTCATGGTTAACATTTGAACGTCGAACACCTCAGTACCCTGTGACCGTGAACCAGCAATAAAAACTGGAAACGGCGGGAATAAAAAAATTTAAATTAAACGCGACAAAATCCTAAAAATTAATTTTATTCAATGTATGGTACTCGCGTAAATATATGAAATCATCAGCAAAAATATTGTCCTTTTTAATACTCAAAATAATTGGTTGTATTTTTAAATCATGAATTTACTAAATAAAATACAGAAATGTACCTAACTACTCTTCCTATGAATTTAATGAGATTTGAAACCTTATTGCAATACTGTAACTATACGCGAGCAAATGAAGCCATTAAAATAAAATTTGTAACATAATCATAATGTCCTTTTATAAAATTGATAACAACAACGAATGAAAATGAATAACTGTTTTTATAGACTAGGTACTTTACTCTTTAAACTGTGCTACTACCTGTGCTACAAAAACTAACAAAATATAATATTATGTAGGTAAGTAGGAAACAAATAGATTATTTTTCATAATATTTTTATTTCAAAATTTCGCGGTAAATAATTTAAGTGTTGAAGAGGTGAAATAATCAATAAAATATCGATTCAAAAATCGATTCTGCAATAAAGAATAGCATTGTATCTTTTATATAAAATTACACAAGATTTCATCCTAACCGAAGCTGCATAAAATTAGATATATCGATATCATCTACATGATTAAATAAGGCTTTTTGCTATAGGTACAGATTGTTGATAATTCTACATTTTGAATTAAGATCGAATATTTTTAAGTAAGTACATACATATTTTGGCTTTTAGCCTCCGTAGGTCAATGTGCGTGTACCTTTAAATTCTTTCACTTGGATTTGGATGATAATATATAATATAGAATGCAGCATTTGAGGGAGAAGGGAGGACAATATTTTCGCTAGTGGAAGTTGCGTGACATGTAAAATCCCTGTAAGAAGCCTGCACAGACCATTCTCCCTTACCTCGTTAGGGCACCAGGAGTTGCGTGCGGCGAACTGTGGCCTTGCCTCCTCGATTGATTCTGCTGTTACTATGATTGCTATCAAACATTTTCTTTTTAGGTTAAATCAGTGGAATTTACTTTTAAAATAAAAACTTTGAACTGTATGTACTACTTAAAGTATAAGTAATTAATGTTTTTAAAGTAGTAAATTTTACGTTTCTAATTTGTCTAAAACCAAAATTAATCTTTAAATTTATTTTACAATGAAGGCTATAATAAATAACCTACAGAGAGTACTGATGTTTCTAAACGTTTTGTAGTTAAATTGTCAGTGCTAACTGCAAAGGTGTTGTAATGGAATACATAATGCATGAAATCTTATTCATAAGTATTTACGTTATCTGCGAATTGCCTTGATCATTTGCTCTTTGTTTTAACTGCTCAGAGTGGTCACTGCTCAGTAAAAATCGCTATGAAGCTCATCTCTAGAAGTGGGCCATCGGTGCTCGACTCTGCGCCGCGCGTTGACGCATTGCAGGTGCGCCGTGGCCAATCGGCGCGCGCCGTCCGCCGCTCCATGTCGCCGCGCCCGCCCGATATAAAACCGACTATCCTTTGCGGATTTAATCTAATCCCGTGTCGTACGTCCCGAGACATGGACTTGAACGTCCGAGACTTTCGCGCCTAAATCGAGGATACAAAGTGCAAGACTAAACGAGTGCAAAAATCGGAAAACTGACATGAGAACACGACGATTCGATTGAACGACTCGGAACGATTCGCGCGGCCGAACTCGGAACGAATCGCGTACGCGAGTTTTCCGGCGCGGCCGCTCGTGCGAGTGGGGGCGGCAGTATCGTTTCAACCGTCGGTCTGTGTGGTCGCTTTTGCGGCGTAGTCTGTGATTTTTAGTGTAGCTCCAGATAATCCAAGTTAATCTACAATGGTGAGTGATATTTCGACAAGAAATTTTCTCCAGTGTCTTAGGGAGACCTTTTCGAATGGCATTCTTGGTATATTTCGAGGCTGTGGTGCATCGGTGTTTATAGTGATGACGGCCTCCATTATATTGTGATGGCCGTATTTTACCGCAATGCGGATCGTTAACATCGCCCAAGTCTAGCTTAAGATGAAGATTGAACTGCTGTGGCAAAAATAGTGGGCGAAATAATGCGGCGAATTAATGACGAACAATTGTTTTAAGTGTATCGAGAAACATCCGTCGCCATAGTTTGATAGGTGTTGCCGGTGAAATGACGTTTCCCTGGATGTAACCGAACATTCGATGACGCCTTTAAAATGGCGCAGAACGAGTGTTGCGCCGTTTTCTAGTTGTTTTTACGGTGTAGAATAGTTATTAAAGTCGCGTCGCGCCCTGTTGACGGCGGATCGATCGGCCGGCGCACCTGTCAAATACCCGTTGACCAATTATCTTTTATAAAAACCTTTTTCCTTTATGATCATTGCCGTTGACTCATCGCACAGCCCGCGAGTTTTTTATTTTTCACACGCAATTATTTAAACTAGTACCATAAGCTTGCTCCACCGATACCAGTAACTGCAACACTGAGAAAAATAGTAAAGTAGGAATTTGATATTGCTAGTCCAAAATATCGACGGAAGCCTACTACGGAATCAAAATGCAGATGATACAGATCATTCGTTACTTACTTTCTGTTCAGTGGAAGCTTACTCGAAATCGATCAAACAAATGTTTCAATTTCTTTTATACCCTCAAGTATTTCTAATAAAGTTTACATCATATATTTAATTAAATATATATATATATGGGTTAACTGGAAGACAATGCTGACTGGCATTACATTCGCCCATTGTTATCTAATTTTAGAGGTGTAACAATAATATAATAAATGTATCATTATAATATAAAAAAGAAAAACTCCTGCTACATTATAGTGTGCCGAATATATAATAATCATGCTTAACAACTAATAAAATGAATTACGAAACCACTAAAAGGGGTCGTATAATTGATCCTAAAATATCTAACAGTGGTTCTTTCCACCCTAAATAACTTACTTTAAAAGGTACTTGCTTAAAATGTTTACAATTCATTTATAAACTGTACTCTGTGATGTAGGAGCAATAAACTAGGCTATTTTAATGACAATAGTTGATTTACTTTGCCTTCAGTACTTGTCATTCTACTCTATTGTATCAATGACCAAAAGAAAACTTACAAAAAACATCTTTAAACTACTTAACAAAGCATTGAGTAATGATTGTAATAAGTTATCTTTAAATATGCAACAGTTTTTCAATGACTACTTAAAAATTATACTTTTTGCAATAGGTACATAAATTGCAAGATTTTTCAATTTCATTAATCTGCACCAGTATTTAGATCTATATTTAAATGTGTAAATTTTTTTGTGCTTATAAAAGTAAATACATTCAGTAAAATATGATAATTATATGACAAACTATTTTGATTTACTATGTTGTGGGACCACTTCTTCCATGGTGTCAGTCTGGGAAAATACAGCTTAGTGCTAAGGCCTTATTAGGGTATACAGACCCAGTATTATTGCAAGGTGTGAGGCATTCCACTCTAGCCTTCACAGGTGATTTTATACTTAGTATTAAGTCGGGAAATTGTTAATATAAGAAAGAGCATTCCTTTTTATAAATTTTTGATTTGTCAACCTTAATACGGAGGTTGTTTATGAAGGTTTTGCACTACAGCCTTTCAAATATATGCTATTAGGACTTATTATGAAACCAAATACAATATAAAGAAAGTAATATTGAAATTGCTTTTCTTTAATTTTGGCAAGGGCTTGAATATATGTTTATAAAATTTACACAAACTTGTAATAATTTACTTATACTGATAAATTTATCAATATGATAACATAAGTATGTATGTCTAAGTATAGATAAAGTTTATTGTAATGCAGTATTTGCTATCAGACACATAGTCCGCATTGTGACGTCTTACAATATAATTACGTTTTTATCTTTGTAATCTTATCATGTCTGCTTCATACAACCTTCCATTTACTGTTTAGTCTCCTTCCATTGGTGTAGTTTTAAATATCTGGAGAAAATGGTTGTTTCGAGTGTATGTGCTTATTATTGCTAATTATACATATCTTAAATAAATAAAAATCACTAGATTTCATATCAACTCTGAAACTGGGAAAAATCTGTCCTAGTGATACAAGTATTTTCGTACAATATTCATTATTTAACTTATTTAATTTGGTTACTTTAGATATTTTTGTAACTGTGGAGATAAATTTATGTAAATTTATACCATTATAAATTTACATATTATGTATCCTTTTATTCTTATCACTGTATTGCAAAGGTAAATTGTTTACATGTTTAGGATGCCTATAATTTTTTTATAAGTGTCAATGTTCATCTTATTGTTTTTTTTTTGCAAAGTCCTCCCACAGATATTTCTACTTTTCCTCTTCATGGTTTTTTACTACTGTGACTAACTACTCCATAATCCTCCCAGACTTTGTTTTTGTATCTTCTAATCTTCCCAGACTTTTGTTTGTCTCTTTTTTATTTCCTGAGTTATGTCAGGTCTGGACTTCTTATGAGATGCCCAAACCAGGTATATTTTAGCATTCCCTTTTTCATCTACTTCTGTTACCTTAAACTTTCCCATTATTACATACAGTAATATCCGAGTAACACAAATTTGGTGTAAAATTGTACCTGGATTTAAACAAATTCAATATAAATGGCTATCCCTCATGCAGACCTTTTGTGGAAGTTTAGGATATTACTATATTACTTATATTACTTTATACTGTATTCCACTTTTATATATTAGTATGTTGTTCTATTATTTATGAATGTTTTTTTTATAGTAAAGCGTGACAAATGAGCACACAGACCACCTGATGGTAAGTGGTTGCTGTAGCCCATAGACATCTACATCTATCCTCGATTACAAATCTAAATGCAGATGCATTGTCACCCCGTGAGGACTAAGATGTAATGCCTCGTTTCCAGTAAAAAGGGTCTCCGGTTCTCTACACTCACAATACGAAACACAGCAGCATTAAGCTACTATTTGACGCTGGTATTCTGTGAGAGTGTGGTCCTTCCCCAGTTGAGCCGACCCATTCATGCTACAACTATACTACTAATATAACTGTAGGATGGCTCTACCACGTATAAAATATAAGATAGTGACACTGACTCTAAAATATTTTTGACTGGATAGCCAAGATACAATTTCTTTTTCTTTTTATTATCAAGTCAAGTTTGTCTATAAGGTCTGTTACAGTTATTGTTTATATCTAACTAAATAGTTCATCAAATGTGCAAAACATTGTGCACCGCTTTTGTTGATCCTGCTGTAAAGTGTAACAATTTAGGCAAATCAGTACAGGGCTAAGTCCAGCATTAGACTTAAGAGCTGCTGAAGTAAAAAATACTGTAGTTATGATTACAGTAGCTATGCATAGCTGTACTAACACAGAGATTCCACATTGCAGGCAGACCAGCTGACAGAAGAACAGATTGCGGAATTCAAAGAAGCATTCTCACTGTTCGACAAAGATGGCGATGGTACCATCACCACCAAGGAGTTGGGCACTGTGATGCGCTCCCTGGGACAGAACCCCACTGAAGCAGAGCTTCAAGACATGATCAACGAGGTTGATGCAGATGGTAAGTTAACATATGTTTTCCCACTTTTAGATGTGACAAATGTTTGGTTCCACTCCAAATGGCTGTGGCGTAAATCTACATTTGTTTATGCTTTTCTCTAGAAATGTAGGGTGTATGCGCCGGTAAGCCGGCCGGGTCTAGATTTCGGCCTTTAGCACGAGGTGATGCAGTAAATTTGATTTAATAACAACTTTAATAAATATTATCGTACGAAATAAAGTTTAATGCATTTGTAAATAGTTGCACTATATCTGGTAGCATTAATTAATCAGGTAAACACAACACGCGATTTATAATAAATAGTTTAGTTCGACACCGGCACAGAAGCTGTCAAAACGGGTAAGATCGAGCAAAAAAAAAATAGTTGCGCGCGTTCCATTCAAAAGTAAGTTTCGTGCTGTATTTAATACAATTACTTAATATTGTGCTTATATTTCATTGTATAAATAACCTAATACAGTTATTTGACACTGATTATTATAATATTTTATTGATAAAATTAATAAATTAAGTGGCCGAAAAGTGACATAAAATTGTCCCATTATTTTGTTGTCGGCCATGCGGCCAAAAACTGCACAGTACACATGCACCTTCCTCTGCAGCAATCTCATCTGCGGTGTGGCGAAAATTTTATGAAGATAAGTGAAAGTTAAAATAGAGAAGTAAGAACTAAAATATTTTAAAAAAGAAAAAAAATAGAAAAAGAAAAATTAAAGAGTGCTGAAGTTCAAATACGAAAAATAGCTAAATCCAAGAAATCTATGAAGGAGAAAAGGGTAAGAGTAAATTGCGCTTTATGTCATAATATTTTAATAAACAATACAGAAGAAAATCTGAAAAAAATATTGGATGTGATGTGAAAAAATCAATTAAAATTAAACGCGATAAAATCCGTAAAAGTAGTTTTAATCAATGTGTAGTGTTCGCGTAAATATAAGAAATCATTATATTGGATGTGACTTTTGCACCAAATGGATTTGAGATGTACTGATGGTTAGAGATGGTAACAGATTTTGTTGAACTAAAATACTTATGAGGAAGTACAAAATACTCGTAAATGAGAAGATTTGATTTCTATATTTAAAAGGTTTTTGTTATTTGATTATGATTCAAAGAAAAATGATTAATCATGGTTATTATTTTGTATCAAAACCACCCCCAAAATGAAAAAAATAACGTTATGGTTAAAAAATTGCAAACACCGATTGAAAAAACTAAATACACCGATTTCCCAAACCGTTTTGCCATTTTCTGATTTTACAAAAACACTTTTAAGTTTGTAGTACCTCTTCTAATTACAGTGGCCGAAAACTAAAATTCTTGTGGGGCCGAAAACTAGCGTTTTGCATATTTTTCACATCAAAAATTATTATAAAAAATAGATTTCTTTTGTAGCATCAATGAGTTATAAAAATGAAAACTACATTATATAAGCTACAAATTAACATTAACAGCACTAGGTCAACATAATGGCTATTATTTTTTATTGTACCTTAAAGTTGACAACTTCACTAAAAAGCCGAAAACCAGCGCATCATCGACCCTACTTTATTTTTTTACTTTGAACAAATTTTCGATGTTAATGCAAAGGTTTGGCCACAGTGTTCAGTTATGTTTGAGAGTCGTTGAAATGTAAATGTAGGAGTGGGTATTGGTTTATCTCTTTTCAGTATAATTGTAATTAAATTTGATGACCAATTTTTAGAATGTGATAGTTTTCTTGATCAATTTCAACTAAACTATGGAAACTTACTGATAGGGTTGTCACTTATACTCTAAACTGAAATGATGAATGAAATATAAATGTCATTTGTCCAAATGTCACTGTTTGTTTTCTCAACGTCAAAGCAAATGCGCATCGTTTCATTCATCCTATTAAACAGGTAATTCTGCTCATACGTCACTACTACGTGGTATAGCCATGCTGCTGCTTAATTAGGATTATAAAACTAATAGATTGTCTCCGTCATAGAAGTACCATGCTCTCGCAGAATAGCAGCGTAAAATAATAGCAGCTCAATGCTGCTGTGTTTCGTACGGTGTGTGAAGAGAACTGTGGACCCTTTTTAATGGAAATGAGGCATTCCATCTTAGTCCTCTGAGGCGAAAACGCATCTGCATTTTAATTCTTAATCAAGAACATATGAAAAAAAATCACATGACTAGGCTTTTTTGAGTATTATGAAAAGTCAACTTACAAAAATGTATAAATAATGTATGTATAATCAGGTTCTATTTTACTATACATACATTATTAAAACACATTTGGAGATAAGAGAATGACGTAAAACATTATTTAAGCCTCTTATCGCGACGTGCCAGTGCGACGAAAACCGCCAGCAGAAAGCTTGTCCAGTTACCAGTTTTAATTGAAATATATTGACTTCGTGAAAATCTACACGACCTAGTTTCGAGGTCTGCCTTTATCGGGTACATATGGAAATGATATTCAATATGGAGGCTCAACAATAGACTGCTACCGGCATACGATACGAAAAATCGATAGAACACAAAAAAGTGAGCCTCGATAAGTCTCCTATAAAATATTAAAATATTTTATTCAGAACGGAAAAAATGCAAATGAATATCGTTCTTATCACCGCCCGGTAAGGTGGTTTTAAAAGTAAATTAGTGAGCCCGTTTTATTTTTTATTTTTCTTTTTTAGTAGTAGGCCAGTTGCTTTTTTTTTAAATTTTATGGTTTAAAGAATACACACTAGCACTGTTTTATTTACTATCAATAATTTTTACTGTACGTCCTTTTCTTAGCCGTATATTTGTATTTTTTTTAAATCCGTATATGATATGTGGGAGAAATCAAACCAGTAGCAGTTACACTTCCACGGAATCACGCAGTCGTAAAATGAAGTGTAAACCAAAACCGAAGCTAGTTAACAATAAAAATGAATTCCTATCCGATAAGAAATGTGAAATACATAACTCAATCGGCCTTTAAATGTAATTATACCTAGTGTGGAGTGCCTTCTAGTTTGCAATTTTCGCAATGTTACGTAACACGGGGCGTAAATATTAATTTACACCCTATCACAAAATTCTTCAGTTTGGAGCTACCTGCAACCATCAACTACCTTCATGATTCATCGGGAGGTTATTTGACATAGTTGTCTTGAGCGCAACTGATCATGAGGTCCCGGTTGGGCCAAAAAACATTTACTAGGATTTTCTATCAAAAAATCTCATTAGTATTAGCCCGGAGTTAGGAAAAAGAAATTGGCGGTTTTCCATCCCCGTGCCTCGGAAGGCACGTAAAACCGTTGGTCCTGCGCCGGATCTTTCTCCGGTCGTTTTATATTACTGTCCTATCGGACTGAGAGTGAGAACATTATCTAAATACCTGCAAATTTTCATTCAAATTGTTAGATACGTTTCCGAGAAACCAATTACTAACCATAACTAAGAATAAACATAATTTATATAATTTGTGATTTGTATCTAATGTGAAAAGATAAAAATATATATTCATTTCTTTTTGTGGTCGGTGGAATGTTTATTACGTATATAATGTTTATAAAGCTCAAAGTATTAGTAATCACGAAAACCGTTTGTGGCGGCGGCGCTGTAGTCGCGTCACAAGCGAAACACACCGAAGCCTAAATCGCGCTATCAAAGTTTCGAATCATAAACAGTATATATAGAACAGCTCCGAACTATCGCACGGAGCGTTGGCCGCTCCCCGGGCACAACACCTTGCCCGGCGGGAGATCTCCCCTTTTCCTTCTGGCCGCAGAAGGAAAAGACACGTTCTCATCCTAACCTAAACGATCCAATTTATTCCTCCATTGTTGTACGTAACAAAATGGTCTATCCTGATGGTACTTTTTTTGCAATCGAGATTGGTCGTTTTCACGGAGCGATTATCAGTAATCGATGTGTTATCGCCAACTATCGATTATTGTTGATAAACGCGCTCGGTAGACTTTTATAGTACTTCAATATTGGTTCATGCTGTTAGCTAGAACTACGAAGTCAAAGGTTCGGAGCTTTTCAGTAGTTATTTTTTGTTTATTAATTGTGTATTTTATACAATAGGGGTGACAATAAAGCACACAGTCCACCTTATGGTAAGTGGATACTATGGCCCATAGAAATCTACGTTTATCCTCGTCTACGAATCAAAATGCAGACGCGTTGCCACCCCTGAGGACTAAGATGGGGTGCCTCGTATCCAGTAAAAAGTCATTTGTAAGAATTTAAGTTAATAGGAAAATCTTCGGAACTACTGATCAATCTCCAATTTCCTTTCACTATTCGTTAGCTATAGACATAGAGTCACGCCTGTGATCCCCGAAGGTGTAAGCTAAGTCAAACAGAAACACATATTAGTATTTTTTTATATCTGCACACGAATGTATCGTTATACACCTACATAATACATGAATAACATGTGTGCAAGTTGTAATGCTTCACTTCCGGTGAACAAGTTTGTCAATTCCGCATTTTATTGCGTAGAAAGTTAAATTCCCACAGCTTTTATTTTCAATGCCAACTCGCCATTCAGACTGTATTAATTGACCCATTGCCATTCTGACCATAAGTAACTTTATAAAAGAATATTTTTATTACATAAAACCGCAGTTTAAGAAAATTACTTTCGGTAAATTTACAGAGGTTTAAAAAAGTTACACTACTGCGTCGCCTACATAACTATGCTGACCGTTGTTTAATGTTGCTCTGCGCGCGCGCAGGGTTGCCAGTTGACAGGACTTTTCCTGATATATCAGGAATTTTATTCTTGTCAGGAAAACGGGAAAAAATTAAATTTGTCAGATATTTTTGAAAGGGAAAGTGAGGGAACATACCAATTTTGTTTTGTAACCAAAATTTTTAAAAGTATCACATCATTATAAAACGACACGATTTAATGAAATAATTCAATTAGTAGAAAGTCAGGATATTTACTGTATAATCAGGAAATATTTCATGAAATCTTATTTTTAACACATTTATTAGCTTCCCGTGTATCCTAGGTATGTCTATTG